AATGTGCATAGCCATGCTGGGAAAAGGCTGATGAGCAAGGTGACAGCATATAATCCAAGAGGTATTCAAAGGGTATCCAAAAGGTTTCCAAACCTTTACAAAGCATATTTTCTTTCCAGCTATTGATTAGTTGAATGTGTTTATCCAGCACTTCCTCGTGTTTGGATGAGATGCTGTTGGAGGAGTTTTAAAGGGTGCTCCTTGTGTTGCAGCATCTCCTGCCCACAGAAGAGGTGTGAGAAATACCTTGGCAGCCACTCCCCAGGGGAACCAGTAGAGAAAAGGAATCACCATGTGCCCCACAGCAGATCCCAGACACACATCTGTGGGAGTTACAGCATAGGTCAGGTATGACTTTGGAGTCAGCTGCGCTTTCACCCAGCAAAGAGGCTTTCCTGCTCAAGGCAGGACCCGTGCTGTGGCCCAGGTTGGTACAGGGCAGCCACTGCTGCTCTATACCACACAGCTCATCCACACAGCTAAGTCATTTCATCAGGAAAGACAACCAGGCTGGACTAGCACATGATTTGCTTTTGGTAAACCTATGCTGACTATACCAGTTACCTTCTGGTCCCTTAAATGCCTGGCAAAGATGTTGTGTACTTCAGCTTTTTCCGCATTGTCTGTCATTACACTGTCTTCCCCATTCATCAGTTTTTCCCTTTGTCAAATTTTACCTTAATTTTTTGAATGTAGCACACCTGAAGAATCACTTTTTGTTTTCCTTTATAGCCCTGGTCTTAGCTCAAATCACTGAGCTTTTCAATTTTGCCATTAAGCAGTCAAGCAATGCTTGTTTATATCTTGCATTTTAGGCCATCAGAAAGCTCTCTGCTCAGCCAAGAAGGCCTTCTGCTGAATCCCCCTCCTTCCTGCTAAAGAGGATGGTTCATTCATGAGTTCTCAACAAGTTTTATTTAGAAATCATCCATTTTTCATGCACCCTATGTCTCTGTGGCAGCATCCCAAGAGATTCTGCTTAGCACTTCTTCAAAAAGGCTGAAGCCTGCTCTTCTGAAGTCTACAGTCATAACTTGCTGACTATTTAGACTTCCTTTGAATCATGAACTGAAACAGCTCATGGTCACTCTGATCCAGCTCTTATTTACCACCACCTTTGCCACTAGTTTTTCCCTTTATGCAAGCAGAAACTCAAGCAGAGAATTATTCCTGTTTCTCCCCTATGGCAGCATTAGGAAATTGTCAGCAACTGTCAATGATCCTCCTCTGCCTGCACAACACCTTAATTTTACTAGAAATTAGAACAAATAAGGACTTACTTGCAAAACGATGATGACTGTATTGATAGAGTTGGCTTTTATCCACATTCTACCAACCTGACACTGTGTTATTTCATTTAGATTTTAAAAGGTGACAATCTTTATAAAAAATAAAGGAAGGAAAAGCTTCCATCCACAGAGAATTAAAATGTATCCAACAAAACAAAAAGTAAATCATGCCCATCACTGACAGCATTTTGGACCAATAACAGACACAACTTCGAAAAGCTCAGTAATTAAAAGACAACATCCAGCTTCATGAAAACTTGTGGATGAAGATGATTTTCTTTCTTTTCCTTCCCTTGTGCTTGGATTAGGTTATTTTCTCCCCTTTGTTTTATTAAGTAAAAGTTGTACTGAATTTTTTCAGATGCAGATTCAATATCAGGCCAAAACCCACAAGTTTTTATCAACAGAGACACTTATTCTTGTTAGCAAAATACGAGTATTTAGCTAAAAAAACCCTTAGAACTGGGGGGGGGGAAAAAAAGACCAAAAAATAAATGCAAGAGGAAATGGACAAATTCAGTTGAATATTCAACCATTTAAGCTTTACCAATAGATTCATTACAGCAAGTAAGCTAAAAGAAAGCTTGTCATCAGCCTTACTCAACTCTCATGTGCAAAGAATTATGAAATTGCAAAAGCCTCTTATAGTGGAGAGGTTACTGTTCCAAATATAGCTGGCACAAATGAAAACCTGTTAGAAGTGTTGCCATATTATGACTGCACAAGTAATAATTTCCCTATGTGATCACTATGTAAATCAGGCCTGAAAACCCCTTGGTAGCATGAACCATGTAGTTTTAATGGATAGCACTGTAGGAGTTGGCAAACATCTTAATTATAAAACAGTATGTGAGGAAATCTATAAGTTTCACTAAAATTATCAATCTTATAATTAACGTCCCAAAAGATTTTAAGTCTTTCTAAACTGGTGATCAACAAAGGCTTTCCAAATATTTTAATGGCAGTCTCGTCTGCAAATCCTATGGCATTGCACAGAAAGAGTGCATTCACTGTTCTCAGTGTATAGCTGTGAAAATCACTGTGAGAGTTAACTGTGGCATTTTCAGTAGTGCCACTTGAATCATGGATGTTTAAAGCAAACAAAAAGGTTCAGCATCATTCAAGAGTTCCGCTTTGAAGATCTTACAATTGTAGTCAGAGGAGAAACCTGGTCTCTGACTCTTCTTTGGGTGTCTCTCAGATAGTGCTGTATGATGTATGTCAAGTGAGGAAATGCAATGGCAAGAAATGCCATTTTCCTTATGACTACATTCATTTTATCTTTGTGCTTTTGTATCCTGGTTAACAGTGTAGCACGTTGTCACTGATATAATTAAGTATATAATAGCCTCCTTTTCAACAGGTCAAAGTAAACACTTGTTTAGAACTATGAGATTTTCACCTGATTTGCTCTGATGCACTCAGAGTCTGCTCCTATTACTCAACACCCTTATTTCTGCCAGTGCCACGTGTCTTGCGCAGGAAGTTTGCAGAGTCAGGTTCTCCTGTCAATAGTGCCAGTGCCACAGAAGCCTTTGGATATCAGCCCAGATAGGCACAAGAACACAGGAGAGGAGTATTTCACAGAATAGACACAGCTTCTCCTGGCGTTCCTTGTTTTTCCCCAGATAATACAAAATGGACATTGGTGTGAATACGTTAGTCAAGAGCCAGACTGTGCCCGTGTTTGGTTTTACTGTCAGGAGCTAAACCAGCAGAATTAACTTGTTTAAAACCAAACTAAAAATATCAGCATAGAAATACATCTTCCTTCCTTAAAAGATCAAAAAGACATACTAATTAATCTCAGTATATAACCTGCATAGTTGTCTGAGCAAGTGTGCTTTCTACTGAACTAATGGGCTCAGACTGTCATCGCCTTCTCTTCTATGACTTGTTTGGGGTGGTTTTGGTAGAAGTAATTAGATAAAATCAGCTGCATGGAACACAGAGAAACACAGAACTGTCTAAAGAGACTTCTTCATTACCTTACAGGCCTTCTAACAATTTAAATGGTCTTTCACTGCACAGTGCAGGTTTTCTCCCTTTTTGTGAAGACTTCACTTTCTGTGAAGTCTTTCTTGGTCTCCTTAGCTATTATCTACTTGTAAGGTTGATTTTTTGCCATTTTTTAAGCTTTTTTTTAATCCTTCTCAGTAATAATGTTGCTGACATCTCATTACAGAAGGAGAGAATTCAGCTTATTAACAAAGCCTTCAACATTGTAACCCGGATGCTACACTGGTGCTCTTCCTATACACACATTTAGAAATCATGAGGTCAGTACTAACCCACGTAAAGCCTTGATGAACAATTTAATGAAGTCAATGGTTTAACTATTAATTAAAAAATGTAACTTCTTGGAACTGTTTGGAGAAAACGCATCCTAATTGAAAGGCTCGTAAGTTGAAGGAAAGCAATGTCAGCTTTGCATCCTCAGTCAAAACAGAGAAATTCTTTCAGCCAAGAGTGGGAAGTAAGGTGTGGTTTCCATATATTTATGTCCTGATTAAACACTGTATCCCCATTTAGTTACTCTGAATCTGTCTGATCCAACAAGTTCAGCAGCTTGAGATCATAATCATATGCAACAAGAAAAATTAAATGCAAATTAGCAAGTTATGAAGCTGATGAATACATAAGTGGAGATTCTTCGGCTTGATACACACAGTAGGTCAGGTCAGATGATGGGAACGGCTCCCTCCTAGCTTTAAATACAATGACTTTATAAACACTGTAGCACAGGAAAAAAATTAATTTCTCATTTTCTGTGGCATTATAATGTGGGCTTATTTTACAAACGTAACAACTGCTGTCTCCTAAGTGAATGGTAGTGCTCTTCAAACAAAAAGATAAACACACGCTGTCTCATCAGTGACATTCAGTGTTGAACTAACAAAAGGCAGAAAAGAACCCACCCAGCATTTTCCTATTTCCACTTCTACCTGGAAACCAACTACATGGATACAATTCTGTTACCATACTTCCATACAGCAGCACAATTCTTTTGGGATTATTAAAAAAAAAAAGAGAAGAAAGGAATGATAAGCAATTTCCGGGGTCATTCTGCTAATGATCACATCAAAGAACTCCATTTATATGAAGGTATCAAGTGCCACTGCATAAACAGTTTCCTTTTAACCTCTCTGCTCTCACAGAAAACTGTTTCATATGATGATTGCTGTAATGGTTAAGAAACTTCTTCCAATTTCCCTCCAATATTATGTGCAGTCATTTTATACATTATTTTTCTTTTCACATAGTGTTTTCTCTCCGTAACGTTTACCTTCCATTTATCTTTCGATAACCTAAACAAGCTGGACCTTTCAGAGTGTATTGTCACAGACTGGTACAATGCACATACAGTCCCTCCACCCATACATGCAGTGAGCCAGATGAGTCACTGATCCGGAGATCTCCTAGTTGTGTTAAGAAGCAGAATTCTTTTCTCAGTGCCACATTGTTCTAGTGCAGCCATCCTGTTTAGGAACTAGTGCAGGAGTGCACTTGGACAACATGGACCTCTGGTCAGTATTCATTTGTGTGATCTTTCTCTTAGTTGTCTTCATACCTGTAACAGTTTCAATTCATCTTCCCCTGAACATGAGTGGAAATAACTCTATGCAATATCCTATTTGGGGTGCACTGAATGCTCTACCTATGTCCTTTGCAACTGTCATGAAAGGTAACAAATAAAGAGAAGCATCTGACCTGGTGTAGTCGTCCTCCACAAGCATGTGCTTTGGAATGGGTGAGTATCTTCCTGGTGAGATAGGGGCCAGGGATGCCTTGTACTCTAAAGTGCCATTGTTTCCAGGAGAGAGTATATGATTTTCCATTGGTGGAGAATAAGCTGATGGTAAGAATAAGCATTTCTAGTTAGCCACTTCCATGTTTGATTAGATGTTACAAGAGTACTGTTTTTTAGTTAAGTACCAAGAACACACTCACTGCTATGAATAACATCAAAACAATCTTTGCCTGAGAGAGCTTCAAATGTAAAAAGGAAGAATGAACAGCTGGATTTTTCCTGAAAGGTTAATAATACTACTACTACTATTACTACTAATTATTATTATTATGGCTCATTTGCCTCAATCGACTCTATTTACAGATCTGAATAAGAAAAAGTAGTTTGGGAAACAGGAAACATTTTCTTCAATTAGGACTGACTTGAAGAAGGAAATGTAAATAAGAGAAAATGAGATTAAAAGCACACTCCTCTTTTTGGCTCCAATATACAGCAGGGGGAGTAATATAGTAAGGGCTTAACGCAGAATAAGAGCAGAAATTTTATGCATGGCAAGAATTAGGCATGGTGAAGACTTAAAGCTGTGATCTACTAAAGGTGCCAAAATTTCCAATATAATTGAAATTTCATAGCTGGTATTTAGATGATTGTAAACCTGTATATTTAAAATAGAAAGTGGATACAAATCTCTTACACATTAATGATTAATAATGAAAATTACAGGACTTTGCTATCTGAATCTATACTGGGGCTGAGGGTTTGCTTGCTTGCTTGCTTTTTACTATTCTGAAGTTACTGGGATATTTATGACTAGAGAGATGTAATAACAGTCACATTCCATCTCTAGTTAATCTAGAAAAGGAAAAGATAAATGGTAAAAACAACGATATGTGCTTCTGCAATGAGCTATGATTGATCTTCTCATGAAAAGAAGACAGCTAAACTTTCTAGTATGAGTTTCAGCCTTTCAGATACTGAGATACAGAATGTTTCTGAGCAAAATATCTCTACAGGGAAAGGCTGTTACCCGTTCTGAAATACTCTGAATGTGTAGGCATAATGAAAGGTTCCCTGAGGATAAATGAATCTGTTTGCACCAACAGCCTGGGGTGGGCCACTGCAAATCTTTTCAACCTTTACTCTCCCTCTGGCATCACTTCTGTCTTCTCATATGCTGCTGATCTATAATCTGACATAATAAAACACACTGTTTCAGAACTCCCAAATTATTAGTTTGAAAGTACTATAAAGCAGGAGATTGCATAGGAACATTTAGCATTTTTACTTCTCGGGCTTTACTAAGATCCAGACCAGACTGTCACTGAACAACACGATTGCTACCCATTGTAACACTTGCTCACTAAGTAGGTATCTTCAGCACAGCTGAGTGTACCTGATGTGCATGTTACAAACCCTTCCCTTCTACTTTTATGGAGCAGTCTGAATAAGGAGCATTATGGATATTCAGCTTTTCCCTTGACTTTGTCAGAGCACAGTAGCAATGCTATGCAAAAGTGCAGAAAAATTTAAGTCTGTAGCATTTACTGGGAAAATCTGCCTTTCCCAGCCTCTGGTTGGCCTTAAGTGCCCTTAGGATTATAGGCAGGAGATCAAGATTGGTATGGATCAGCTGCTGAAGCTCTTGTCAGAAACTAAAGTGCCATCCAGTTGTTAGTGCAGCTGCTCCCTGTTAGTAGTTGAACCCAAGGCAGGCACATTTTAAAGAACACATAAATGAAGGAAGGTAGTTCCAGTAATGCACTGCTTAGACCAACAGGCACCAGTGATACAGAGAGCTGCAACTGAAATGTTAAGATTGCTGTGAATGAACAGGGAATGGGAACGTCTAAGTATGGCCACCAGGAGGACTGGAAGGAGGTTAGGTAAAAGAATGGCATGTATTGATAGCTCCTAGATTAATCAGTAGGTCAGCAATACTCAACATAACTACATGTAACTTGTCAGGACAGCCTACACCCAAACTAAAACAAAGAGTCAAGCTGTTAAGAGATGATGGCAGGAGATAAAGACTAGATTGGAGCCTAGGACACTTAGATAAGGAGACAAAAGAGAAGTGAGTAAATCCTGAAGACATGCATAGGTTGGACAAATGGGAGAGACTGAACATCGGAAATGCCGTCACATCCTTAAGGGTATAAAATGCACATCAGCAAGGAGGTTGTTAACATAAGAAGAAGGATTTTTACATTCCAAGTAGATATTTTCTTCATATATGATATGTAATCACTGCAGCCTTTTCACTGAATTTGTACAAGGTGGTTTGCTGCTAGTTCTAATTTTTCAGTGGACAGAGGATTCCAGTCTACAAATCTAATCACATTAAAAATATATATATTTGCATTTACTTATTACTGTAATTGTCGCAAGAGTTACAGTTGACTCTGATTGCATGGACAATGGCTAACTGGAATCAGCACAGCAGCACAGCAGCTATATTGTTACTTTTGTTGCAAAAGGATTGTAGCAGAGTTATATTATTTGTAATATTTAATGAGCGTAGCATACTCAAGTGGCAGTAAACATTTCATTTTTGTAGCCTTCCAAGCTGTTTCATAAACTTTAATGGGGTACTTTGGACAAGCTATGAATCAGTCATCTGACAAATCATCTACAAAATGAGTTGCAGAAGTTACTTACAGTGAGTAATATCTGGTGGGCCATATGGATCGGTCATGTAAATGGTAGTGGGCTTTCCAACTTTCAGATACACTACATCTGATGTGTTCTTCAGTATCGCTACTGCCTCTTCATGGGTAACTTCTTCTAAACTGTAATTATTCACCTTAAAGGAGAAATCAGGTGAGTTAGACTGCAGAAATAGACACAAGAAATGACACAGAGGTGCAGTTATCACAATGTGGGGAAAAATGCTGTAGACAAAGAGCACTGAAGATTACAGAAGCACTATTCGGCAAGGTAGAAAATACAGTTTTCTTAGTACATGCGTATTCAAAGAGTGGCACAGCAGTACTGATAATATCACAGAATCATAATGGGTCAAGGTGGCACTTAGTCTTATCAGTTGGAAAGTGCTTTGTGATATTCTGCTACCAGTATCATCATTAACATAAAACTATATTTAATAATAATTTAATAACAGCACATCATTTACAGAAATTGCCTGTGTTATTTGACCTATCCAGATGAAATGTCCAAAGTCACCTCTTGGCATGTATGGCCAGGACCTCAGAAATACTTTCTAAATCCTGTCCTTGATATGACATTTACCATTAAAATAGTAAGATGTACAAAGTCATATACAGAATAAAGGACTGCCTATGAGATGCAGGAAATGAAAAGGGAACTTCTGGATGGAGAAAAAGGATTTTCAGTGTGAAAGTTTGTCAGTTTTCTGGAAGCACAGGAAAGAGGCATTGAAAAAGTAAGAGATTGTAGTACTAGTTCTGTGCTTTATCAGAAAACAAAAGTACTTAACATAAGCAAGTATAATAATACAGGACTACAGATTAATTAGGGAAGGGAATGGTGGCAATAAACTTTCCCTATTTATGCTTTACTCCCATAGAAAGAAAATAAAAAGAGAATTGTCAGAAGTGGTTTATTGTAGAGGCGCATAACATTTATTCACATACAAATCCACTGTATCCACAGAAGTCAATAGGTTGTCCTCCCATAAACAGAATAGTGAATGGTCCCTGCTCCAGAAAACATACATCCTGAACAGAGAAATTATAAGATAGAGGAAAGAGGTAAAGAAGGGTGTTAGATACAGGTTTCAGACATGTGATGTAAGCCAACAGAAATCATAGAATCACAAAATAGGAAGGACCCATAAGGATCCTCACATCCAACTCCCTGCTCCTTGCAGGACTACCTAAAACTAAACCATGTGACTAAGAGCATCGTCTAGACAGTCCCTGAGCTCAGGCTTGGAGCCTTGACCACTTCCCTGGGGAGCCTGTTCCAGTGACCTACATTTCATGGTGAATGTTACATATGAAATGCTTCGTTGTGATTTAAAGTGCCATCCTCCAACTTCTACAGTTACTGCAAGGGTTCCTTGTGAAGATTATGCAAGATGGGAGAAAAAGTAGCTCCTCAAATACAGTTTAACATAGTACAGCTGTAAACTGCAGAAAAAAATACATACCTCCTTGGGAATTTGGTAACAGTAAATTATCAGAGACTGGCTGTGACAATGACCTGCTGCAAAGGGTTTGGTAACTGGAGAGAAATCCAGCTGTTATGAATCACTGGAGGATTCTTCATACCTTAGACAACTTCATCAACACCAAGAGAGATTGATTGCTATTGGACAGTGCTGCTAAATGTAGGGATTCTGTTTAAACTTTGTTCCTTGTATAATTGTCAGGCTTGGTTTTAAGGTTAATTGAAAGAGGCAATGACAGGCATGTTATGACAATTTGACAAGAAGAGCAATGATATAACCTAACACTCGGAAGAGAGTTGTTGACACTGTATGCTGTATTTTGACAGGTCCTCTATTTAAATCAAAATCTGATACTTATCTTCCATAAATTTCTCTGGTTTTGTTATGAACAGAAGTAACATACATATACACTTGTAATGAATGTCTTCAAAAGTACCGGGCTAATAGCAAGAAGTGACTGAAATTAAGCCTTTCTTGTTTATGTTTTTCAAAACTGCCAGATACTGGAGATTCACACTTTATCTTCCCACACTGTCTGTACATTGAATCTATCTTGTTGTGTCTCATCCTAATTGCAAGCTTTCCGAAGTAAAGAAAATCTCACATAATAACCTCCCACTGTACTGCTGTTGTAAATAATTGTTCTTGGACAAACCCCTCCCCCCCCCCAGAATGAAATATCAGAGCACTGTCTGGATTTTGATTTTTGGTTTTTTTAGGAGGGTATAAAATCAATTAAGACACAAATAGACTCACTGCAATTTTTCTTTCCAAATTTCTTTTCCCCTGGAAATCTAGCTGATAAAAATCATGGTTAGGACTCTTGTACTTCCATCACAACACATTTGGATGTCACAGTTGTGCAGCTGGAGAATAAACTTGTATTTGCTTTGACAGGTCCTACTTCTTATGTCTCTGGCAAGAACTTTACAGGACAAGTATTATAACAACGCTGTGTAGAAGTTGTACAAATCTTGATGTTAAGATTTAAAGACCTAGTGATTCTCAACTACAAATTACTGTCTAAGCAGTTATGTATTATGTTTATACACATTAAGATCCTAGAGATCTTTGCAAAGTTTATGCACAATATTATTTTTCTCTCTGTCCTAGTACATATAAGCCTAAGAGTGCAAAATATTGCGGAAAACTGAAATATGTAGAGCTGGAACTTGGTAGAACTTGAAAGAAAGTAATGTATGAGTGAAATCAAGAGACAAAGGAGAACTTCAGAGAAAAGACACTGGAAGAAAATCTGAAGAGAAGAAAGACCCTTCAAAGCAAGCAGAGCTCTGTATAAAAAATAATCCCAACAACATATACCAAAATTGCTATTCAAACTCCTCCCAAATATAGAGAAAATAGGAGGTTTCTCACCTCCAGAGCTCACTCCTAGAAAGGAAGTTTGCTCCTAATTCATTTTGTCCTGGATTGCTCAGTTCTCAGCAAACAAAGAAATGAATATAGACTCAATGTACATCAAGAGCAAACAAACAAACAAACATGTTTATTCATTCATTAAGACAAAGATTCCCAGTGGTTCCCTAAGGTCTCTTTTAAATGGGAGCTTTTTGAGGAGATAAAACTACTTTCCTTAGTCATTCCCAACACCAATTTAGAATTGCAGTATACAAAATACACTGTGTGTTTCCCAGTTTCCTTCAGAAGGTAGTCCTTGCTTTGGACCTACAATTCCCATTAATACTAATATATGCATGTATCAATATATTTTTGATCGTAAGACAATGATTACAAATAAAGACATCTGCATGTATTCTGATATACATAAGAATGAAAACCCAAATACACTGAAGAATTATACTGTTCAGCTCCCTACTGTGTAATTTTCTTCATAAAAAAGTCTCTGAATATCATACTTCAAAACATCATCACAGAGATGGTGATTATTAAGAAATATGATGTTGTAGTTGCTTTTTATGGTAAGATTTATAGAGAGAGCAGAATCTCTCAGAATCTCCAAATCAGAGTATTTCTTGGGCTTTTTCTTGTTTCCATAAAAGATGTCTGTTTTCACAGAATTTCAAGTGCTAAATCTGGCTTTTTCAGTGGTTGTGGCATAGTCAATGCCTCATACCAAAGCTCCACTTCCTGCTGTCAAGACGACCTAGATCATAGCAGTAAAGGAGATGAAGAGTGAGAGATGCACACAAAATAAGAAATCAAAGTGTGTATGGCATAAAACCCTCTGAGACGCTGAAACACTCATGCAGAAGGGCTCACATCAGAGCTGAGTGGGTAGAACAGGAACTGCAGGACAACTTTCTAGCTATTAGAAGCCAACTTTAGTAGCAGTTAATTAAGAGGGGGGAAAAGCCTAAGTAAAAAAGAAATAAGGAAATCTCTTTCTTTAAATAGGAAATATGTTATACAAAGACATACTGATATTACAGGAAAAGGATAAGAAGAAGGAATAATATAGCAATAGAGAAGGAAATTAAAGATATAAGTCTAATCAAAGAAGCTATTTGAGTGATGGGTGAAATCAGTATGAAATGTTGCCGAAGAGCTATAAAGAGACTGTGATAGGGTTGGTTTTTTTTCCTAAATAGCATAATCAAGGCAATGAAGTGTAAACCTAAGCAAGAATTATCGTATTTGGAAGTTTTCCTAGATTCATATTGGAAAACAAAGGCACTGAGAAGTAGCTACAGTGAAAAGCTTAGAATCCCCAGATTGGCTATACAAGTGCTCTAAAGAATAACTTAATTCACAACCGCATAAACTGATAACAGATTAAGAGCTCTGGAGGTTAAGTTTGTCGTATTTAATTTTCCTTTTTCTTTTTTAAAGGAATTCATTACTTTACTGATTTAGGGCAAGAGACATTTGATTCACTCAGTGAGTGAGACGAAGATCTTTACCTTGCCACTGGTAATGTTTGCTTTTGTGTAATATTCTACTTTTCATTCAGGAAGTGGATTTTTCTGTGTGAACCTGAAGTATTTGACAATAAACACCTGCTACATGCCAGCTGTAACTCTTGGATGCTGATGGCCTTCTTAAAAGCTCATCACAATTTAAAAGGCTGAGAGGTGTTTCAGTGCTGAAGATTAATCATTTGTCCTAAGGATGTAAATCTGTTTGGATTAACTATTTCCTTATAATCCCATAGACTCCTGAGTTAGTTGTCCAAGTGCTGGACTACGAATATGCCTCTGAAATTAGCTGTCTTAGACTATTAATAGTTATGGACTAAGTGTCCTAAACCACATCTTTGCAGAGAAATGCAAGAGTTTGTGCCTCACAGACAAACATGAGACTGAGCAGTGCGCTTCATGCTTCAAGCAGTGCAGTGTATACGCAGTGCCAAGTGGCACTCTATCTATACCGGACCATCACTTTTCAATCCCAGTTTACACTGATTTAGGTTTAAAACAAAATGTTTTCAAGGCTAATGAAGTAGCATGAGGACATGTCATGGTTTAAACCCAGCTGGTAACTCAGCACCACACAGCTGCTTGCTCATTCCTCCCATTCCCTCCTACCCAGATGGGATGGGGAGGAGAATTCAATGAATGTAAGCCCCACGGGATGAGATAAGAACAGTTTAGTCATTAAACTAAAGTACATTATATTACTACTAATAATAAGGGAAATAACAAGGAGAGAGAATACAAAACTAACACGGG